TTGGTCAAGTTTTCAGCCTGGTTTTACTGTTTACCACTGTGTTATCCGCAATAGTTTACATTGTTCTCAATTCAATCACTTCCTGTTGGTTTGTTACATAGTGTTTGGAAAGTAGTTTTTTTGTACATGCCATGTTTTTGTTAGTTTTGTTTTTGGGTATTAACTCCATTCCAATAAGAAATATTAAAGAGAGTGATACGAGATTTATACTGTACGTTCTCTATTAATAGAGGGTAGTGCTTCCTCTATCTTTGAATCAAGTAGAATGCTGGATGTGGGGCACATTAACTTAGAGTATTAATAGCTGAGAAGTCAAGAGTTAAAATCTTACCAGAGGCAGTTACAAGATTAAATATCAGTGAATCTGATAATCTGCGACTGGCACCAGAAAAGTGACCATGAAGCTGCTAATTGTAAAAATCCACAAGTGGGTTCATGAATTTTCTCCAGAGAAGGGAACTAACATGTGCACACACACACACGTGCATGCGCACACACACGTGCACACACACACCAACACCAGTCCTTTCAAACCAACTGCAGATTACAAGTAACTCCAGATTCATTTTAAATGTTGGACTGAAGCCACTTGGTTGTCAGGGCAACTAGAGTAAATGCCAAAAACCACCTTGCTGGCATCATCCAGAGCACAAAGAAGAGACCATGGCCTACGTTTCCTGAGTGCGAATCAGCAATAAGAGTCTGTGAGAAAAATGTAGCTGTGAAGAAATTTGACAAGATGAAGGAAACTGTAAATATATGAGATCTGTGGTGGAGGAGAGCAGTGATCTTAAAGGGTTCTAAAGCTGGAGGAGGTGGCTAAAATCACAAGAAATAGGATCCCAAACACCTTTCGGGCTTGTGCTGCTGTTCAGCAAAATTCTGGCTGATCTACCCCAGACTATTCCCCTGTCCATACCCAATATCCCTTGATACCTCAGTGACTAAAACACTACTGATCTAGACCTTAAACGTGCTTAACAACTGAGCACCCTCAGCACTTTGGGGTTAGGGTATTCCAAAGATCTATTTTATGAAGATATTTATCCTCGTCTCAGTCCTAAGTGGCCGCTCTCTTATTCTGGGACTCTGACCCCTAGCTTTAGATTTGTCAGTCTGAGAAACATCTTGTGAGCACTTAACCCATGTAGGCCTTGAACATGTTATCTTGAAGAAAGAGGCCTCAGAGGGTTTCGAACACACAGCAGAGAGTGCTGAAATCTAGATGTGGCTGGATCAGGAGCTAGCGCAGCAGAGTGAGGGTGATGGTGAATGGGAGCTAGTCAGTGTCCAACGCAAGAAATCTGGGGGCCAGAGTGACCTTGCTTTTGAACCCTCATATTATGCCCGCATCTAGTTTCTGGCAACCCCCACCACCCGACCCAGCTCGTATGACATAAACCCAACTAGATTTCCAGAGTGTGAACTTTCCTCAGACTACCCTCACAGGATATCCTCGATCCTGAAATTGGTGGAGATGTGGGAATCCAGGTTTAGGCCTGAGAGACTTGTTGCCTTGAGAGGTCAGGGGTCAGCAGCCTGACTCACTTAAGGATGGTGTTAGATTACTGGCACAGGACGTCTGCTCACCTTTTGATGGGCATGCGTCTTCCTGGTAACTGGTCGCCGTGCTACAACAGAACGGTAGCCCTTACTAGAGACACTGAGGGAGCGCAGACCTTGGGCAGTCAGCAGATTGGGAGCTCAGATTTAGCTTTTGCTCATGTTTACAGAGATGATACATAGTTTGTCAAGGAAGTGATAACAGTGACTCCAATCAGAGCCCAGAGCTCCATCAGGATCCAAACACAAATAAACCCAGTTCTCCTCCCCCTTAGATTTGGCAGTATGTTTTATTTCCACATTGTTTTCAGGGTCCTGTGTGGCTTTCTCGACTTGTCTGGGCTGCCGAAGCCTTGTTTCTTTTCGCTTAACTCTTGTTCATTTCTTTGCTTCCTGCTAAGGTACCAGGTTGAGTATGCAGAGCTAAATCAATGGCTCCAGTCTGCAGTGGAGCACCTGGAGTTCTGGAAGCTACAGTCAGTGACTCTCCCACAGGAGCTGGACACTGTCAGGGACCACCTTAGCTCGTTTCTGGTGAGTTTCTGCCGCTTCGCGTCCTGGTGTTTGCTGTCTTGGCAATCAATATCTTAATAACTGCTAGTTCAGACACAACGTGTGATCTGACTGAGATCTCCAGTTTACGACGAGGTGCCTGCAGAACCATTGTTTCTGCTGTTCAGTGAGAGGGTTCAAACCCTGTCTCTCCAGAGTGATTACGGATGAGTGATTACGGATGAGCGATAACTGATACCCACATCCCTTGAATGATTTACATTTTGGGGCAAAACAAGGTTAGCAGGATTGAAAGGGGAGGAGGAGATTTAAAAAAAAAATTTCCTTGAGTGGTTGGCCTGTAAGAGTCTCTGCCATAAGCTGTTGTGTTGAACCAGAGTTCGGACATCGGAAACTAGATAGTTTCTTTGAAAAAGAAAATGGGAAAGCTCTTCAATAATCTTGATGGATAGAGCTGGAACATTCCACAGGTGCTGTTTGCTCACTGAGCTTGTTCAAACTGAAAACAGGATGTCCCACCCAGCAATAAGAGGGAAGCTGTCCCTTTCCGTGGTGTGGGATGTGGAGTTTAGGAGTCTGTGACCCAGTCATTAAAAACATTGGCCAATACGATGTGATATTCTATTCATGCTGACCTATCGCATTGGGGTGAAACGTTAGCAGCGTTTGATTTTCCTTAAAAGCTGTATTATCACGTGTAAAATATGCATCAAAACGTTGCTAAACTTTGCGTTGACCATGAATCTCCTGCAGAAAGGAATAACTGTTTGAATTACTTCTCAATACTGTCAGCAGTTCACCCATTAATACGCAGGACAATTCGGATTGCTACAGAGAGCTGAGATTGTCAGTCCAAATTCTTCACCCCCCCAGAAGTGATCTCCTTGACTGAGCTATACTGTCTATGCTTCCTGTGCAGGTTCCTTCCATTAATAATAAAAAGCAAAAGTTGCCTTTGAATAGGGCCGTTCACAAGTACTGGACATCCCAAAGTGTTTTACTTAACGAAGTACTTTTCAAATGCAGTCACTGTTGTAATGTAGGGAATGCAGCAGCTGGTTTGCACCTAACAAAAGCTCCTATACTCTGCAACCTGACGATGACCAGATAACCTGTTTTGAGACATTGGATTGGTAGCTAAATATTGGTCAGGGCAGCAGAGGTAGTGACCTTGCACTTCTTCACAGTAGCATCGTGAGATGTTTAGTGTCCACCTGAGAGCAGATGGGCCTTCAATATAATATCTTACTTGAACGCCTGTGTCTCTGCCAATGTGGCAGTCCATTAGCCCTGGGCCATCAGCCTGGATTGTTGCACTGAGCGTTTTGAGCGGCTACACAAGGCACAACCTGTAGCATTATAGGGACAGTGTCAAATAGCAGAAAGCTCTCTGCTAGAGCAGGAGTAACACAGCACAGGGGAGGTGGTGGCATAGTGGTTTATGTCACTGGACTAGTCATACCAGGGGTAATGTTCTGCGGATTGTGGGTTTGAATCCCACCATGATGAAATTTGAATTCAATTTAAAAGGGGAAAAAAAACTGGAATTAAAATAAAACAAAGAACTGCGAATGCTGGAAATTTGAAACAAAAGCAGACATTGCTGGAGAAACTCAGCAGGTCTACTAGCGGTGTCTGCAGATGGGTTCTGACACCCAAAACATTCACTCTGCTTTCTCCCCACAGATGCTGCCAGACCTGCTGAGTTTCTCCAGCAGTTTGCTGTTTTTGAACTCGAATTAAAAGCTGGTTTATCAAAACCACTATCGATTGTTATGAAAATCCATCTCGTTCGCGAATTCTTAAACAAAGATGCAGGAGATCCGAAGCACAAACAGGAAAGTGCTGGAGAAACTCAGCAGGTCTGGCAGCATCTGTAGAGAGAAAAACGGAGTTAGTGTTTTGAGTCCAGTTTCCCTCCTTCAGAGCTGAATCTGCCGTCCTTACCTGGTCTGGCCTTGCTATGGCTCCAGACCCACAGCAATGTGGTTGACTCTTAACTTACCCCTGAGCACTTAGGGATGGGCAATAAACGTTGATCGAGTATTTAACAACAAAAAGTGCCAAATGACATCCTTTTGAGCTGCATGATTCTAATAACTAGCAGTTTTTAACCAGGCTTTATCTTCCCATTTAATTATTGCGCAGAGCCAGTTCTTTGAATAGCGGACTGGTTTAGCAGCGGTGTTTGAGCAGTTTTGCAAATCTTCTACCGACTCGGTTCCTTTTCCAGGAATTTTCCAAGGAGGTTGACACTAAGTCCTCTCTCAAATCGTCGGTGTTGAGTCGGGGAAATCAGCTCCTGCGGCTCAAGAAGGTAGACACAGCTGCCTTGCGATCTGGGCTGGCCCAGATGGACAACCAGTGGACAGAGCTCCTCACTCAAATCCCCTTGGTCCAAGAGAAGCTGCACCAGGTATTGGAGAGATCGATGTGTCACCCCGGTAAAGGGGATCCATTTGCAATCTAAGAATTTGGATAATGGGGGCTTCCTTTTGCCATCATGGCATGGGGTGGGGGGTGTGGGTAGAAGAGGAGATAGCGAGAGTGTGAGTGTAAGCAAACTCAACCTCCTCCTTCCCCCGCTCCCTCCAGCTCCATGTTCAGAAATGTGAGGGCGCGTAAGGAGATAGTGACGCCTGGTGATTAGTTTTGGGATTGATACGGTAGTGTGTGCAATTACTTTTCCAGCAGGATCCTAACACCAATTGAATGGGCTGAGTGGCCACCTTCTGTGCTTATCCAGTCAGAAGCCACCAGGCCTCAGGGGTGAAGTTTGACGCAAGGCGCCTCATCCGAGTTGAATCTGGTCTTCAAATCATGGGGCTCTCAGCCTGTCTCACACTTCCTCCCTCCCATGGCAGGGCCACTGTGGCAGACTGCTCTCCAAATGGCTGGAGACTGCATATTGGGTTCGAACCAGAATTGAGCCAAGGAGCTATGGGCCTGAGTGCTTCACTCCCTAGCCTATGTCTGAAGAGCTGAGCTGAGCTGTTCACTCTGGCTCTAACTGCATTTGTGAGGATGCCAAGTTGAGAGGTGGTAGATGTTCATCTGCTGTCTATGTTTCAGTGCATGGATATAGCTAAAATGGTTTACTCAGTTACAGATAGAGTTATATAGCACGGAAACAGACCCTTTACTCCAACTCATCCATGTCGACCAGATATCCTAAATTAATCTAGTCCCAATTGCCAGCATTTGGCGCTTATCCTTTCCTATTCGTATACCTATCAAGATTCCTTTTAAATGTTGTAATTGTACCAGCCTCCACCACTTCCTCTGGCAGCTTGTTCCATACATGTACCACCCTCTGAGTGAAAAAGTTCTCCCTGGGTCCCTTTTAAATCTTTCCCCTCTCACCTTAAACCTGTGCCCTCTAGATTTGGACTCCCCTACCCTGCGGAAAGGCCTTGACTATTCACCCTATCCATGCCCCTCATGATTTTAGAAACCTCTATAAGGTCACCCCACAGCCTTCGATACTCCAGAGAAAAAAGCCATAGCATCCTCTGTGGGTTTTACCATGCTGTTGATTACAGTCCCTGTCTTAAATTACAATAAAGAGCTCAGTGCTACTGAGTATCGAGGTGTAGGACAGATGTTGTCTGTGGAGGAAGTTGAAAATCTTTCCCTTCTCAGCTTCAAATGGAGAAATTGCCTTCACGTACAGCCATCAATGAGCTTATGAACTGGATCTCACTCACCGATCAAATCCTTGAAGAGGATGATGAGAAAATCAAAAGTGCTGTGGGTTCACAGGTGATAGAACAATACCTCAAGAAGTACAAGGTAAGGAAGAATGTCTAGGCTTATATTTTCTTGAATAAAGTAGATTAAGGGTTGATTTCATTGAATTTAAAACTATTAAAGAATAACTGAAAACTGATGGAGAGGAACATAATAGTTAACAAGGAGATGGAGTGCCAATAATTCCTTTCTACCCCATATGTTAGAAGCATATGAAGGCAATATTCGATATCGGATTTAATAATTGTGAATGAATCGGGACAGGTAGGAGAAGTAAAGGTGGGAGAATCAAGGGAATAGTGACCATAATGTTATAATGTGTTAAAATGTAATAGAGAAAGACGTGAGTAATATTAAAACTTACTTAATTGATTGTAGAATAGTTGATTTTAAGAGGCTGTGAATAGAACTTTGGGGCAGCACGGTGGTTCAGTGGTTAGCACTGCTGCCTAGTTGTGTCAGGGACCCAGGTTCGATTCCAGCCTCAGGCGACTGTCTGTGCGGAGTTTGCACATTCTCCCCATGTCTGCTTGGGTTTTCACTGGGTTACAGTCCAAAGAGCTGCATGTTAGGTGGACTGGCCATGCTAAGTTGTCCTGTAATGTCCAGGGTTGTGTGGTCTGGGCAGCTTAACCATGGGCAGTGTGGGCTTACAGCAGTAGGGTAGGGGCTGGCTTTAGGATGCTCTTCAGAAAATCAGTGCAGGCTGAATGGCCTCTTTCTGCACTACGGGGATTCTGTGATTCTAACTCTGGGAAAATAAACGAGGAAATATTATTGACAAACAGCAATATGGGACCACAGTGTGAAACATGTAATACAATGTTCAACAGAGTTCAGGAAAATATATTCCACTGAAAGGAAAGAACAAACCTACCATTCACAAGACTTCATCAGTGAATAAAGACATAAGGCAACCATTGAGGATGAGGAAAGAGGCATTCAATAAGTATATGAATAACAGAAGAGCTCATGAAAAGAGACAGTGTGAAAAGATTAGAGAAATCATAAAAGAAACAATTTAAATTTAAGGTAACAAACAACATAAAACAAGATATAAAAATAATGTTACTGACGCACCAATGAAAACTGGAAGGCTGTGATGGAAACAGGACCATTAAGGATAACAGGATAATATCACAGGTGGCAATAAAGAAATGGCAAAAATATCAAATAACTATATCGCTTTGCTATTTATTAAATAATGGTATGATTACAAGTACAAAAAAAGGTTAATGAATAAACCAAAGTGTTAAACATGTTAAAATGACTGGTCAAGATGGATAGCAACCACATTTGTTTAAAACGATTCAAGGAAGATATAGCAGGTGTATTACTATTCATGTCGAAAACATTGTTTAAAAAAATGGTGATGTGTCAGACAACTGATGGATAGTTGTTATTTGTATATTTAAGATGTGGAATAGAATATTACCACAGCTTAACATCAGTGAGGCGAAATATTGGAAACACTGCTGAAGGAGAGGTTAAAAGAATGTCTAGAAATGAGAAGCATCATAGTGAGCAGTTAATGTAGGTTTCAAGCCAACCTTGTTAATTTCTTGAAGGTAACAGAGAGTAGACCATGACAATGCAGTAGAGGTAATTTATCTGGATTTTCAAAAGGCCTTCGATCAGGTGTGTGATGATAGACTAATGATTATAGTCAAGAGCTGGTGATAAGAAACAGGTCAGTGTAATCTCACTAAATAGATCAATAGGCTGAAAGATTTTATATGTTTCTGAGAAGCAGAAGGTGAAGAAGAGTCTGCATTTATATAATGCCCATTAGTTTCTTCAAACATTTCCACAAGTAACCAGTCAAGTGCTTTGAGTTATTGCCAATGTGGTTTTGTCGGGAAATGGGCAGCCATTTTTGCACAGCAAGGTTTCACCTTTGGCAATGTAACAATGAGCTGAATATCCTGTTTGGTTCAAGCTGAAGGAAACATTTCTGCTCGGGTACCAGGGAGAGCTGGCTTCCTTTTCTTTGAAAAGTGCTGTAGGATCCTTTATTCCCCTGCAGAGGGACAGAGGGAGCCTCAGTAAAGTGTGATTTGAAAGACAGCTCCTCAGACATGATGGCACTCCTCAGTACTGCACCAGAGAGTCAGGCCTAGGCTGGGACCTCCAGTCTCTGAAGCAGAGTTTGAAAATTTGAGCCGCTACTTCAGCTTCTGGTCATTTTGCTTGACCAGGCTCCTGTGAAGCACATTGAGGTGTTTCACTATGATGAAGGCACATTGCAAACGTAGTGGTTGTTATTGTGTGTGGGGGTGCGGGTGATCAACGTTTTTTTCATTGCTCACTTGTTGGGGTCCTGTCAGAACATCAGTCCTTTACTAGGTAAACAGTAAAGCAAGGGGAGGTCAGTTTAACTCTGAGTTTGTGACCTCGGGTGCATGGTGAGGCAGAGGAGGTGAGCAGACATTGGCTGCCTGAGGGAGGAGGATTGCTTCTGGGCAGGGCCTGCACTTCCTTATGACCAGCCATTTGAGGAATGTTGAATTGGGAGCTGGTGGGTTGCTGGTGGCACAAGGGTTAAGGAGAATAGGGAAGACTGGGTGAATGGAATAGACATTAATATATCGCCAATCTGATTAAAATTTGAAGTTGCAATTACTTCACACCTAAACCTTGTGTTTGTCTGATTCAGTACCTGAAGACCCCTAGATGTATTAGCTTTATTGACACTAGATTGTGGGCTTGTTCTTGTTTTTTTTAAGAATTCCTGCAGTGTGAAAGCAGGCCATTCGGCCCATTGAGTCTACACTGACCCTCTGAAGTGCATCCCACCCAGACCCAGACCCAACCCCCTACCCTCTCCCTGTAAACCTGCATTTCCCATGGCTAACCCACCTAACCTGCATATCCCTATACACTACAGACAATTTAGCATGGCCAATCCACCCTAACCTGCAGATCTTTGGACTGTAGGGGGAAACCGGAGCACCCGGAGGAAACCCACAAAGACACTGGGAGAATGTGCAAACTCCACACAGTCACCCGAGTTATTCTAATGTATTTGTCTTTCGCAGGCTTTCAAGATTGACTTGGCATGTAAGCAGCTGACGGTGGACTTTGTGAACCAGTCAGTGTTACAGATCAGTAGTCATGATGTGGAGAGCAAGCGCAGTGACAAAACTGATTTTGCTGAACGCCTTGGAGTAATGAACAGGAGATGGCAACTGTTGCAAGGACATATCACTGAGCAGGTAATGGAGAGCATTCTACACAGTGCCCCTCACTGATTTTGATCTCCCTGGACAGCACTTTTTTTCTCTCTTTAACCCCTAGTTTTTGCTGTTTAGTATTTGTCTTGGGTGATCACGCTGTTGTAGAGAAGGCTGTCCAAAACACCATTCCTGATTCTTCAGGGATCATCGGTGTGGGGCTTGTTTTGTTGACCAGTTGGTCTTTTCCGGTTCCCATGTTTCAGGTTCCGAAGGTCCTGAAACGTCAACTTCTGATTTCTCTCCGCAGATGCTGCCAGACCTGCTGAGATTTTCCAGCAACTTCTGTTTTCGTTCCAATTAATTTAACATTTTTAAGCTTGGTATCATTCTGGTGAAGTTGAGTTCCATTCCCTCCTTCCACAGATGCCCAGAACTGAATGCAGTAATCTAAATGTGGACTAAATTCCACTCTTTTGCGTTCCTTAAGATAATGGACAATGTTCCATTAGCCTTTTCAATTTTTTTTTGTACCTGCGCATCAGCCTTTCATGATTCCCATAACCAGACGCCTAAATCTCTCTGCTCCTTCACAGTTCCCAGCTGCTCATGATCTGGAAATTGATCTAATCAAACTTTCTTAGGTCAGAAGTGAATGACCATATTCCCCCATAGCGGGTGAGGCGATGGCCTAGTGTTCTGGGGACCCGGGTTCGAATCCTACCACAGCAGATGGTGGATTTGAATTCAATAAGATATCTGGAATTAAGAATCTAATGATGATTGTCAATCCATTGTTGATTGTTGGAAAAACCCATCTGGTTCACTAATGCCCTTTAGGGAAGGAAACTGCCATCTTTACCTGGCCTAGCCTACATGTGACTCCAGACCCACAGCAATGTGGTGATGGGCAATAAATGCAGCCTAGCCAGCAACACCCTCATCCCATAAACGAATAAAAGACCCCATCTGTTGAACAGTGCGCAATTGCCTGCCTGTTTCTGTATCCCAAGGCACAGACCTGTTCCAAGGCTGACTCACACCCAGTCGAGTCTTCAGCACTCTAGATGGCTCACAAAGAAGGAATGGGCTACCACTGTTCCCCCGAGGTTCTCAGTGAGTTTTACACATCGTGCAGGCCTGGTGTGTCCTGAAACCGGATGATCCTCCCTTGCTTGCGAACAGGAAGTTGTGATTTGTGTTCAGAAACAGAAATTGCTGGAGTAACTCAGCAGGTCTGGCAGCATCCATGGAAAGAAATTAGAGTCAACGCTTTGAGTCCGGTGAAGTCCTCAGAAGTGTTCAGAATATGTTCTGAAGAAGAGTCACTGGACTCAAAACGTGGACTCTGCTTTCTCTCCACAGCTGCTACCAGACCTGCTGAGTTTCTCCCGCAATTTCGGTCTTAGTTTCTGATTTCACAATTCTTTGTCTTATTTTAGTTGATTTGTATTGTCTGTCTGTGGGAATGCTGAACAAATTCTGCCGTGTTCTGGAAGGCTTACTAATTTCTCACTAGGTCCAAACTTGCAGCTGCACTTTAATAAATGCCTAGTAATAAAATGAATTAATGTTGACAGATTGGGTCGTTGGAAGGCTCAGTAGAATCGTGGACGGAATATGAGAATAATGTCCAGTGCTTGAAAGACTGGTTTGAATCTCAGGAAGACAAACTGAAGAAGTGGCACTCGATCAGTGACCTAGCCTCTGTCCATTCTGCATTGAAGGATTGCCAGGTACGGAATCTAAAGTAAACCTTATTACTTCCTCCCTTCTGTTTTTGTCTATCAACCCACATTCTCTCAGCCAGGAGGCAACCAGCCTAGCTTCTCTTGAGCATGCACGTACACTTCAGTAAATCGAGTAAAAGTTTCTGGTCTGCTTTGGCCTGGTCTGGGTCCACTATTTCTTCTGATATACCAGACCTCTAGTCAGCACTTTGTCAGCCCATTTGAACTGAAGACCATTCTTACCTTCAACCTGATGGGAATTGTCCTGACGCTTCCTGTATAGTGGGATCTGCGATCTCCTCTAGTCAGCTGTCCAGGAACTCTGAGAGGCTGCTGTCTCTAGAAAATGGAAGACTAAGGGTTCGGGGGGAGTGGTTTAGGATTAAGAGGGGCATCAATACCAGAGACCGAGAGACAAGGAGAGTCTGAAACAGGGAAATGAAGACAGTCAATGATAAATCCAGCGATGCGATGAGGTGAAAGTGTTTTACCCAAAGATTAATGAGAATGTTAAACTTGCAACCACGTGGAGTGGTTCAGGCATGTAACATAGAACAGGCTGTGGACGCTCTTGTGATGCAGTGGTAGTGTCCCTACCTATGACACAGGGAGACCTGGGTTCAAGTCTCGTCTGTTCCGTTGGTGTATGATAACACCTCTGGCTAATGAGAAAATATCTAGGTTGGGAGGTGGGTATAGAGGACGTATTGATGGGGCAGGGCAGGGTGAAGTAAATAATGTGGGATGGGGCTTGTGCAGCTGATAACCATCGGATTATTTCTTTGAGGTCAAGTTCCATAATTTTATTTCTTAGGAGCTAGAAGATGTTATCCGAGTGAAAGAGAAGGAAGTGGAGAAAGTCGAAAAAAGTGGCCTGCTGCTGATACAGAACAAGAAAGAAGAGGCTTCCAACAGTGTTATGGAAACAGTCCGAGAACTTAATCATTCCTGGGCTCATCTAGACCACTTGGTAATAATATGTCAATGACCGGGGCTGGCTCTTTGAATGATGGGGAATGGTTATAAAGCCAGAGTCATACAGCAGGGAAACAGACCCTTCAGCCCAACCAGTCCATGCCGACCATAATCCCAAACTAAACTAGTCCCACCTGCCTGTGCTTGGCCCATATCCCTCCAAACATTTCTTATTCATGTACTTATTCAAATATCTTTTAAATATTGTAACTGTACACACCTTCACCACTTCCTCCGGAAGTTCATTCCACACACGAACCACTCTCTGTATAAAAAAACAAATTTGCCCCTCACGTCTTTTTTAAATCTTTCTTTCTCCTCTCCCCTTAAAAATATGCCCCCTAAGCTTGAAATCCCCCACTCTCGGGGAAAGACACCTGCCATTCAACTTATCTCTGCCTCTCGTGATTTTATGAACCTCTATAAGGCACCCCTCAACCTCCTATGCTCCAGTGGAAAATAGTCCCAGCCTATGCAGCCTCACCTTATAACTCAAACCTTCCATTCTTAAACTTTCATCCCATTCAAAATCTCATTCTTACCTTGATCCTGCACAGAAATGGAGAGACAGCAAGATGATGGTAATCTCACTGGACTGCTAATCCTGAGGCCCAGGGCAAAGATCTCAGGATGTGGGTTCAAACCCACCATGGCAGTTGGGAGAACTTAAATTTAATGAACAAAACTCTGGAATATGTGGTGACCATGGTGCCTAGCGCCAATTGTTGTAAAAATCCTATCTAGTTCACTAATGTTCTTCAAGGAAAGATGGTGTTACCTGGCCTTGCCTCCAGTCTGTTACTCCAAACCTACAGTAATATGATTGACTCTCCCTTTGCAATAGCATTTCAAGGGCATTTAGGGGAGGGCAGCACATTTTCGCCTTGCTAGCAACATCAACACCCATAAAGAAACTAAGGAAAAATGAGGAAATGAATGAACTTTCAACAACCATTTGATGAATACATGGATAATGACAGCACCATGCATTTGGACAGTATCAAGGCGCTGTTTACAATTATACCCAGTCAATCTGACACACTCGCACCAACAAGCAGAAATAGATGTCTTCCCTCACAGCCTGGGGCATTTTGGCTTGAAAGCTCTGACAGTAGATCAGGAATCCAGATGATGTTCCTCAAATCCTTCTAGTTCAACAAAAGCTGATTACTTATGACCTTTAAAAGCTGTGGGCTTGTAGTAAAAGGCCAATTGGTTGGGTGATGCCGTTCAGAGAAAGGAACCTGTCACCCCCGTACATACCCAGTCTACGTGCAATCCCAATCCTGCAATATGCAATTAACTTCTAATGGAGTCTCAGAAACCAGGGTTGAGTAGTAAATGTGACCAGGACCCCAAGAACAAATAAGTTCCTTTTTTTTTTGAAGTAAAGTTTTGTGTTCAAGGCAGAATGTTCTGCACCAAAGCCATGCCAGTGGCTACTACAATATTTAACCACCCTTATCTTGGAATCTTACAACACTGAGGAGACCATTGACCCATCATATTTGTTCTGGTGCTTTGACATTTATTTATCTTCACAATAAGTTTATTTTCACAATAAGGCGGGAAATAGATGCTGTTAATTGCTACCATAAAGCCGAGAAAGGCCAGGATACCTTTTATTTGACTTGATTTCAGAGTTGTACACGTGTGGTCTTTCCTGGTCTAGAGAGCAAACATTCACTGTTCGATCTTGGCATGTTCCAGCTTGGCCAACTGAAGATTACTCTGCAGTCATTGCTGGACCAGTGGAATATTTACAAGGCAGCTCATGAGGAGATCAATGGCCACTTGATGGATGCCAGGTACTCCCTTTCGCGTTTCCGTTTGCTGACTGGCTCTCTGGAAGCTGTGAAAATCCAGGTGGACAACTTGCAGGTAAGTACCTCACCTTTCCAACGTGGGTGGTTAAAATTCAATGAATGTTACCTCGGGTGAATCAGGTGGACACTGACTCCCTTGCAGACGAATGAACTGATTCCCTTTGCAGCTCAAACCCTGATGAACTGTGTCATTTCTAGTGGTGCGTGTTGAGGACCTGAAATTACAGAGAATTTACATCACACAAACAGGCCATTCAGCCCACCTGGTCTACTCCAATGTTCATATCATTCATGTGAAACCTTGTGCTAACTTCATTTTGCCTGGTCCCCAATTTGCCCTTGTACTTGCCATATGATGTTTTTTATTGAGGAACCTTACAATCTCTCTGAAGTGCCATGCAGCAGGGGCTGTCAGCCCCTCTGCATCTCAGGCCCCCATCCCATCTGGCAAAAGTAGTACAGAGGCTGTGGAATTCCCTCACTAGTCCTCCCCAGGTCTCTATTTACTCTCTGTAAAGCCGATCATTAAAACCAGCAGGAGCCACAATTTTAAATATTTCCCCTGGAGCAAAATCTGAAAGTACTTCCTCACACAGAGTATTGGAAACCTAGGACACTCCTGTCCTTCTGTCCCCACACCCTTCCAATAAAAAAAACTGTGGCCACTGGGGTTCAGTGGGATTTCAAGTCCAAGTGTGACCGAGTTTTGTTAAGTCAGGGGTATATTTTTATTTGGGGATGAAAAACATTGAAGAATGTCCTGTAGGGAAGGGAATCTGCAGTCCTTACACAATATTTGACTCCAGACCTAAAATAATGTGGTTGTCTCTTACTTATCCAATGAAATGGCAAGGGCAGTTAGAGATGGACAACAAATATAAGCCTTGCCAATGACACCTGAACCATAAATGAAAGAAATTGTAAATTTAAAATTTAATTTAGTTTTAAGCTGTAATTTCACCTGTAATCCCATCATCACTATCCGCCCTGTCACCCCTTTCTCTGGTAATTTTATTTACGGAATCCTTTCCTTGCTTTTGACGTGCAGTCTCTGTCCTGTTCTGGTGTCTGCCTGTGGTTGTGTGGTCCTCCATATTGCTGGTCTTCACTGTACCTCTTCCAGTTAATGGTCTGTCATGTATTTTCTGCCCTCCTGCCTGGCAGTGCTGTGCTTTCACTCCTCCCTTGTGCTGCCTCAATCCGCAGCAATCTGACCCCTGACCCCCTAGCTTGTGAGTTGAAGCCCCACTCCAGAGCAGCTAATCTCGGTCAATACTGGCAGTGCAATACCTCCAGTAAGGTGACTCTGCAACCGCACCCCACGCTGCCCCCACCCAACTCCGATCCATGGCCAACGAGCAGGGGACCTCTACCTAATGCCTCTGCCAATAATTATCCCACTACAGTGATCTGTTCATTACCTTGTTCCTGTTTGTGAGGTCTGAGGCACACATTGGCTGCTCTGTGTCCGTCTTGAAGTTATAATTACACCTTGGCAATGCAGCAAACTTTGTTTTAAACTGGCGCCTTAGGGCACTGTCAATAAGCTGCCAAAAATTATGTAAACCTGAAATACTGGAAATTTACTGTGTTATTGCGATATCCACAATGTCTGAGCAGTCAGTTGGGGGTGTGGGTCTGATGGCTGTCTGTCGGTAAATTTCATTCAAGGCAAAGTTGTATTGCTATTAATGTGATTTGTGCTGTGAGTAAGGAATTACTGTGATGTGTATATTCTTTGCATTACGTTTCTATTACTGAGCGTGCATTTTTACACTGATCATGTGGACCTCTTGTTTTTCCGGAATATTTGATCAACCAGTATACTCCTCGTCCCATAGTAGCCGAGTAATAAAATGTTTGCTGTGCTTCATTGACTCGAAAGCACTTTGTGATTCCCCGCTGTCCTGAAAGGTACTATGTAAACTCAACCTCTTCCCCTTTTCTCTACCTCTCCTGTCAGAATCTGTCTCTTCACCATTCCCCTTGATATGCCATTCCTCTCCACTTCCCTCTGGTTCACTGGAATATTGCCTTTAATATAAAGGACTTGTCTTTGTGCACATGACCTCAATAGAAACACAAGCTGGTGCCACATTTGTGATGGGGCTTTATCTCAGCTCAGCACCTCCCAGTATTAGATCAGGTCATGTCTGAAAAGCATCCAGGTGACTCTGGACCTTAGTTGGCTGAAGGCCTCATTTGGTTTTAAGCACAAAGTGGTTCCATTGCTTCAGTTGCATCAACCACAAAGGATCAGAATACACTTCTGCCATTAAAAATCCAAGTGCCACTGTTTCCCTGTTCTCCAAATGGCACCCACGTACCTTCTTCAACATTGTGTCCATCTTTTATTTTACAGAACCTTCAAGAGGAACTGGAGAAGTCGGAGTGCAGCCTGCAGAAGTTTGACTCTGTGTGTAATCAACTCCTCAAGGAATGTCATCCACCAGATAATAGCTCATTGACAGCTAATCTCAATGAGGTTAATACAGGGTAAGGATCCCCTTGAGTGCTGTCTGCTCCTCCATTCACGGGTTCCCTCGCTCCGCTCCATCCTTGCTGCTTACTTGTACAGCTGATGTTTGAAGCTTTCTCCTAACCCTGGCTCACAACTGTTGTTCTGCGTGAGCCGATTATTTCCTTGCGCGCTATTTGAAAGATGAAGCTGCGTGAATGCAGCTGAACCTTTTGTGGTGCAGTCCTGTTTTGCCGTTGTGATATCTGAGTACAATGGGAGTCGCTATATTAACTATATGTAAACTATAAATATTGAATTTCCTGTTCAACATACTCCCTAGGCCTGCTGTGCAATGATCTCACTGGTCTTTGACTGCTTTGGGAATTTCCTGTTCATATGAGGATCTTCTCAGACATGTTCCCCTCCTAATTATTAATTAAACATGTTAATTCTAGCCTGGTGCTTCCGGTGCTCCATGCACCATGCAGAAAGGGCTGGTTCAAATCCCATTGTGCCGAGCTGAATTCACTAATTTGCGACCTGGCAGTGGAAAATGACGGTGAGAAATAGTCAGAGATAGTAAGAACAGCATGTTCTTGGAGTCAGAGATAACACAGTGTGGAACACAGCAGGCCAGGCAGTATCAGAGAAGCAGGAAAGCTGACGTTTGGGGTCGGGACCCTTCTTCAGAAATGCTTGGCTTGTCTTCAATGTATGGCTGTTTTCCGTCGGGGAAGGGAACCTTAATGTGACTCTGTGTTACCGCATTGATTTTTTTAATGCTCCCAGGGAAACAGGGAATGGGCAATAATTGCCACCTCACCGTGAGATAGGTGAAAATATGCCACCATTACTTTGTTCACCATTGCTATATTCACCACTAGTCTGTCATGTGTGAGGTATTGTCACCAACGGTACCGCACTTCAGCTCACATTTTCCAGAGGTTCTTCAATGTTGAAGCACGCAGATGATTGGGAACAGCTTCAATGTTGCGATTTTGTGGCTAACTTGAACCCCACTCACAGTCCCTGACTCTAAGCTTTTGATGAAGGTGTTGCACTTGGTCATCATGTGCAAGGTCCAAATGTCAGAGACCACTCCCTTGCCCAAGGATGAGATTTCAGCCTTAATCTCCTTCGCGTACTTGTTTGTATCTCCCACCTTGTCAAGGCGGGGCACTACACCTTGCCGTTCCTTTCTCCCTCAGGCTTAGTCCACTCAACAATGTGAATGTGCATTTGGATAGCATCTGGTTAACTCCATGGAGGATGGTTTTAGAGCTGGCGATGCAAAGTGAACATTAAAGAAAGATGTTTATGTAGTGCCTTTCATGACCATTTCCATCAACAAAAGAATCCAACTACTGCCCAATGACGCTCATTACCATCACTGAATCCCCTCACTATCGACAGCCTGGAGGTTTACCGTTGTCCAAAAACTGAACAGGACGATTCTTATAAATAATACATCTACAAGAGCCAGGAATCCAGCGGTGAGTGACTTGCCCACCTGTTTCTCCAAAGCCCGTCCACCACCTACAAAGGCACGAGTCAGGAATGTGATAGCATACTGCTCACTTGTCAGGATAGGTGAAGTTCCAACAAGACTGAAGAAACTTGACACCATCCAGGACAAAGCAGCCCCTTGATTGGCACACCATTCACTTGCTCAACCGCCAGTGCATATTAGCAGCAGTGTGTACCATCTACAAGATGCAATGCAGTAACTCACTGTTACTCCTTCATTGGCATCTTCCAAACCTGCGATCTCCCCCCACCGAGAAGGGTAAGGGCAGCAGATGTGTGGGAGTGCTACCACCTTGAAGGTTCCCCTCCAAACCACATACTATTCCCATCTTGGAAGCATATCCACATTCCTCCACTTTAGCTGTGTCAAACGGTTAAGGTCCAAAGGCTTCTGCCACATTGTTCACGCCCACAAGCTGCCCAGCTTCCCAAGAGCCAATCAGATAGTTGTTTTCAGGCTGACAGTTTTTGTCATCCACACCTGCACAGACCAATCAGCAGCCTGTTGCCAGCCGACTCTCACTTTGTACACAGACCCCGAGGGCCATGCACAAACATTTTTAACCCTACCCCCAACTTTAACAAAGCAGCAATGTAAACACCACACAAACTGAGCTTCAGCAACCGGCATTTTAAAAGTGCACTAATTCCTTCCTCAGTTCTTTGCTACAAATTCATTCTAGGATCAACATTAAAGGGAAATAAAAAGGTAAGATTCTTACAATTATGATCCAACACAGAGTTTATATTGCAGATACAGTGACAGTAGTGATGTGTTAATCCAGGGTTCATTTAATTCCCTGTAAATCACCTAATGTGTGCAATTCTTTTCTATACATCAGCTGGAATAATTTGCTTCAAGATATCGGGGAGCAGCTTCACTCAAGCAAGATTCTACTTCAGCTCTGGCAGAAGTACAGGGATTACTCAGGCCAGTGCTCAGTTACAGTGCGACAGCAGGAGGACAAAAGCAACGAGCTGATTAAGAAAGCTGTGAACAGAGATATTGCTGAGGAGGAGGTTACACATTGGATTCAGGACTGTGATGTGAGTACAATAGACATAACAGTCAGTGCAAACAAAAAAAAACAAATGGACCAGAATTTGCGTTAAAGCCTTTGGTTAAAACAACAGTAACTTTATACTTTAAATTCATGACAGAGCATTTCAGTGGAATTTTTAAGCATTCCATGATGAGACATGGAACTGGGGTGTAGAGATTAGGTGTAAGGAGCCAATCCCAGGTTCCTTTTGTGCATCAAAAATAATAAGAATCGAATAGCTCCACACGGAAGGTGGCCCATCGATTCTGTGCCACTTCTTGAAATGCAATCCGGTTAGTCCCATTTACTTTGCCATTCGCCATCTCCCGAGAATTCCTTCCCCTCCCTAGTACTCATCCAGTAACCTTTTGGAAGTTCTCATTGAATCTGTGTTTAACACGCAGTCAGGGAGTGCATTCCAAATCGTAACGACTCATTGCATTTCGAAAAGATTCCAAATGCTGCTTCTGGTTCTTTTTTGATAACCAGCTTCAAATCGATAATTAGCGAGAACTGTTTTGCGTTGAGTAGAAACGTGTGGACAGCTGCACACGAACTTTAAAAAGCTGCGCAGTACGGCAAGGTAACTTAGCCGGTGTCACACATTTTATTTTCCTTTATTGAGATCGTAGAATTCCCGTATTGGGGAAGCAGGCTGTTTGGCCCATCGAGTCCACACCAACCCTTCGAAGAGCATCCTACCCAGCCACATACCCCGCTCCTATAACCCTGCATTTCCCATGGCTAACCCAACTAGCCTACACATCCCTGGACACTACGGACAATTTAGCATGGCAATCCACCCCAACCTCCACATCTTCGGGAGGAAACCGGAACACCCAGAGGAAACCCACACAGACACCGGGAGAATGTGCAAACTCCGCACAGACTGTCGCTCGAGGGTGGAATTGAACCCGGGTCCCTGGCACTGTGAGGCAGCAGCGCTAACCACTGAGCCACCGTGCCTCCCATTGCTCAATGTTGTAAAGGACAGATTATTTCTGGAATCGTACGCTTTCCAAATTAACTGAATTATTTTTCTTAAAGTAGATCGTCCTTCCAGCTCACAGGCATTCAGAAATACAACCTATTGTACCACAACACCTCCCCCGCCCCTCCCCATGATGCTTCTCTGAAATACAGATGCCCTAGAAACTGCCAGTTATTCCATTGTGTGTTAGATGAGTGTGCAAAACAAGCCCCTGGTGGCAGATGTTGTGGCTTTTACAGCTGTTTGCATTCTAGAGTTGCTTTCTCTGCACCGATCACTAGACTGCCCAATAAGAATATTACCATAGAACAGCGAGAGGTTGATTTTAAGAGGAAACCAGGTGATCACATTGGAGAGAAGGGAATGGAAGTGTGTACTGATAAGTTTTTTTTATTTGAAACACCAAGGTTATGGAGCAAGTGCTGGTAAATGGAATTACAGCAAATAGGTTCCTGATTACCTATCTGGACTTGATGAGCTGAAGGGCCTCTTACCATGCTATAATATTCTATGACTTCAAATAGAGAGTGGAAATAGACCGTGGGTCATAAATACCATAGACCATAGGCTGAATGGCCTCTCTCGCATCACATATTCTGTGTAATCTCCATCTGAACTCAGACTCCCAAAAGGCTTTTAGTATTGGAAGTTAAATAAGAAACATAATGTATTACCTTTAAATAAGGTAGCTCCCACTACGGAAGATGGTGGGAATGGGCACTTCAGTTCCCACAAGTGGAATAATGGGTTTAGATCAGTTGAAACATTGAAGATTGAGATGAATGGGTTTTTGTTCTGAAGGGTTAGTGAGCCCTGGATTCAGGGTTTGAGATCAGACGAGGGCTACCTGGGGTGGGGCAAGGCAGGCAGGTGGGTCGTGGTAGGGTGAAAACTTGACAGTTCACTTGAAGCTCGTGGTTTCAGGGACGTGCTATAACGTGAAATGCTTTCTCCCTTTCCTCCGGTCGCAACTGCAGGTGCTGTTAGAAGAGTTGGGAAAACTGCGGGATTCTCTTCACGCCCTCTCTGACCTTGGAGAAGAACTGAGGGGGAAGGTGGACCCTTCAGCTGCGGCTGCTATTCAGTCTGACCAGCTTTCCCTCAGCCAGCGGTTGTTTTCTCTGGAACAGGCTCTCAGCAGGCAGCGGAGTGTGCTACAGGTACCTTCCTTATTTCCGCTGTAGCTCACTAACAGGCCACCTCGCGTTCAGCACGATTAATTGCCACTTCTTTCATGTTGCTGGAAAAGGAGGCGCACTGTCAAAACTTGTTGTCTTGTGCTCATCAGGACAGACACAAGAATGCCAAATTTCCAAAACGGGACAGCATTTATACTGCATGAGCGAAGGGTGCTGATTGGTTGGAAAGTTGACCTCTGACTGGTGGAGGCATCGCCATGGAGAGTACAGTTGGTCCCCCCCCCTCCAAGGCCTCTGTTTATTTCAGAAAGGGTGCAGCGCCTCACATCTTCCAGCTTAGAGGGGCCTGTGCCTCAAAATTTGTGGCTTATAGAAATGTAAGTCAGCCCGACTGAATGATCTTAATAAGAACAAAATAACACAAAAACCATTGCACCTTTTGAATTAATAGGGGCAGTTGTTCCCTGGTGCATGCTTAGTGCTATTGCTGCGTTATCATACCATCGAATCAGCACCCTTTCCCATGCAGTATACATTGTTATTCCCTTCTGAAATTTGGCGTTCTTGCCTCTGTCCTGATGGAAGTAAGACAAAACAAAACTTCAGTGACACGTGTCCCTTTTCTTTCTGCAGTACTCCAGTTCAGCGTTATTAAATAATTATTTGACATTTCAGAAGGCAACTTGATAGCAAACCAAGCACAGGTTCAGCTCATTGTCAGAATGTCAGGAGGGCTCGAAATACCAAGTGTAGAGCATTTATAAACCAGCTATAATGCAGTTTCAGACAGGAGGAAAATGTTTGTCTTTCATGATCTCTGCATACGCCAAAGTCCCTCAACCACTAAACTACTCCTAAGGTGTGGTTGCGGTCATAATTTGGAGCTGTGACCGCTGATTCATCCCCACCACAGGATCTCCACAAGCAGGAATGAGATAAATTACCCGATAATTTGATTGGGTGGTGAATGTTGGTCTGGATTGCAATCTCAGTATTTTGCTCCAAGAATATAACATTGAAGGACTTTGGGCCACCCCTGAGATTGTGAAAGTATAAATGTGAGAGTGGACCTGTGCACAGTAAGATCCCAATGAATAACGAACAAACCTGTTTTTGATGCCGTTGGTAGAGAGATTGATCTTGGTGAAGGCACCAGGGGAATTTCCCTGCTGTTCTACTGTGAGATGTTTGACATCCTTGCAGTGGGCAGACAGGCCTTTGTTTTCACTTCTCCAGTGAACAAAGGCACCTGTGATCCTGCGGCACTCCTTCAGTACTGCACTGGAGTATCAGACTGGATTACAAGCTCAGCTCTCTGCAGCAGAGCTCAGACCTTCTGACTGCAAGGCTGAGTGTGCTACTGACTGAGCCAAGGGATCTGTAGACCAGAAGACCCTCTAACTGGGATTGTTTCACACTACAGGCTGGCATTCACGATTACGAGGTGTTCAGCAAGAGGCTGGCAGCCCTGGAGAAGTGGATTGTGGAGGCTGATGACGTTCTCAAATCGCAGGACCCCAACCGATCGTCTGATCTGACTATAATCCAGGATAGAATGGAGGAGCTCAAAGTAAGTTACTCCTCTCGCCTTTGATGTGAAATAGAAATGGACAGGAGCAGGCAGATGCACATCTCCTTTCCTGCTGGCTCGGGCGTGGATGCTGAGATCAGGAGTGGATTTTTATAACGCATCCAATGTCAGCATGAACTGCTACATGCTCCTGTCAAATCTCCCGTCAGTCTGCACACTGTGGGCCACGGCTGTGGAGGGGGGAGAAAGAGGGTGTTTTAACACATGGGAGCTTTCTTTTTTTTTTAAACAGTCACTGACTGACACTGGTTGGTTTGTCACCTGATTCTGTCAGGCCAAGTGTTTGAAGTAGCTAGCTGAGATACCGATATAACACCAGTATGTCCTCTCACTGTGTCCCAATTTAATCCCTGCGCTCAGAGCTGAAAGGTCCTGTTTTATCGGGAGAACTGTTGTTTTGATCTTATCTGCAAAAGGCAAGTGTTTGATCACAGGGCAGTGTATTGTTGTAGGGGGAACAGATCAATTATTTGCTTAAGAGGGGAAAGATTTAAGAGGGACCCGAGGGGCGATCTTTTCATGCAGAGGGTGGTGCGTGTATGGAATGAGCTGCCAGAGGAAGTGGTGGAGACTGGTACAATTACAACATTTAAAGGCATCTGGATGGGTACGTGAATAGGAAGGGTTTAGAGGGATATGGGCCAAATGCTGGCAAATGGGATTAGATTAATTGAGGATATCTGGTCAGCATGGATGAGTTGGACCAAAGGGTCTGTTTCTGTGCTGTACATCTCTATCACTCTCAGGTCCTTATCTATCCACTCTGGTTTGCTTGTGAACTTGAGATGTACTGAGAATTTATATTTTACTTTAAAATGCCTACAAGACAGCAGCAACAGGAAGAAGAAATTACCTTTATCTAGTACCTTTAACTTAATCCCAAGGTGCTTCACTGTTATATTATTGACTTCCAAAGCAATAATAGAACAAGTAATCAAAATGCTATTCAGAGCAGTAGAACTTTGAAGAGAGAAAGCTGGTGGAGAAGCTGCTAGGTTTAGAGTGAGATTTCCAGGCTCAGGGTCAAGGCAGATGAAGGGACAACTGGCAAAGGTGAAGCAATGGAAATTAGAGATGTGTGGGAGTTTGGAGGGCACAAGGTGGTTTATAGACATGGAGAGAAGCAAAGCTGCTGGAATCCTTGAAACTGTGACACCCAACAATGTGGCACTAAAACAAACACTGAGAGGCCAGGTCTTGCCATTGGAGAGATTGTGGGATTACATCACAGGGTAAATTCCTGGGTGTAGAATGGAGGGGAGGGTTTCCAGTTAAAGATTGTACAGCCACAGTTGTACCTGGTCCTAATCAATGCAGATGTTGAAGAACTTACAGTAGTAAATAAGTGAAAGGCAGCTTTCTAGTCTCTTTATTCCTGTAGCCTCATTGAAGTAGATCCTCATTTGTAGATTTTATTCAAAATGGCTGGCCTGAGAGAGAGATTTTCCTCAAAGCTGCACTAAATCTTTTGCTCCTTACCTTAAAACAGTGTCCCCTGGTTATTGACCCCTCTACTAAGGGGATTTAGTCCTCTCTGTCTACCCTGTCTATGCTTCTCCACATTGTACATCTCAAGGATGTTCCCCTCAGCCTTCTCTGCTTTAAGGAAAGCAACCCCAGCCTATCCAGTCTCTCTTCATCGCTGAAATGCTCCAGCCCAGGCAACATCCTTGTGAAGCTCCTCTGCACCCTCTCCAATGCAACCACAACCTCGATACAGTGTGAAAACAGAACTGCACACAGTATTGTGTGGAGTGACTAGTGTTATATACAGCTCCATTATAACTTCCCTGCCCTTGTATTCAGTGCCTTAACCAATAAAGGCGAGCATACCATATGACCGGCCCCGAAACGTTAACTCTGTTTTCTCCTTCACAGATGCTGCCAGACCTGCTGAGCTTTTCCAGCAACTTTGTTTTTGTTGCAAGCATACCATATGCCTTCTTATCTGTCTCGGATCAGTATTTAGGAGTCAATCTGCAATGATTTTGGTAGAAAGGTGTTGTGATAACAGTGCCTTTGTTTGGTATTTTGCAGGTCCAAATGCTGAGGTTTAGCAGTACCATCCCTGACTTGGATCGCCTGAATGAATTGGGATACAGGTTACCCCTGAATGATAAGGAGATCAAATGCATGCAGACATTGAACAGACACTGGTCCTCGATTTCTGCTCAGACCACTGAGAGGTTTAGGTAATCCAGTACTTGGTTACTTATGAGCAGGTTACCATCTCAAACTTGTAAGACGCTACCACACTGATACTGCGGCTAAACATTCTGTGTCGTTCCCTCCGTGTGGACTGATGAGACAGACTGTGGCCCCCTGTTAGAAGTGTGAAGAAGTCTGACTGAATCCCATTTTCACCAAACATCACTGGGTCCTGCTGACCAGTGGTTTCACTGAAATTTCCTGTGCTACTTATTTATCGGCTGTACACCAGGATTCCAAATCCTAAACACTCGCAGAACAGGGTATTTTCCTTACAGCTTCTGGTTTTTTTTTTTGCAATTGCCTTAAATACATTGGAAACAATTTCTGTTTAACAATTTCATTTGAATCACCTCAGAATTTTAAATACCTCCGTATCAACTCCCTGCACACCCTTGTGACATTTGGCTTCTCATAGAGTTTCTACAGCATGGAGAAAAGCGCTTTGGCCCATTATATCCATGCTGGTTATCAAACATCCATCTAATTTAATCCCATTATCCCAGACTTGGCCCTTGGCCTTGCATGCTGTAGTGTTTCATGTGCTCATCTAAATAGTTTCTTAAATATTTTGATGGTTCCCACTTCCACCCCCTTTTCAGGCAGCGAGTTCTAGATACAGACCACCCTCTGGGTGAAAAAGATTTTCCTTAAATCCCCATTAAACCTCCTGCTCCTTACCTTACAATGGTGCCCCTAGTTATTGACCCCTCTACTAAGGGGATGTAGTTCTCCCAGTCTACGCCATCTGTGCCCCTTTGTACATCTCAATTAGGTTCGCCACTTCTCTTCTCTAAGGAAAACAATCCCAGCCTACCTGGTCTCTGAACCAATCTGAATTGCTCCCAGCCCAGGCAAAATCCTGGTGAATCTCCTCTGCACCCTGTTTAGTGCACCTGCATCCTCCCTACAGTGTGACAACAGGACGGCACACAGTACTTCGACTGTAGCCAACAACTGTTACATATAGCTCCATCATAAATGTCCTTGCGCTTGGATTAAATGCTTTGACCACGAAAGGCAAACATCCCATACGCTTTTTTAACCACCTTATCTACTGTCTCTGCTTATTCCTCTTGTCAAAATATATTACTGCTGGCTTTCCTCTACTTCGATTTTCATCCGCCATGTGTATGCCCATTCCACCAGCGTGTCTACTTGGCTTTTGGTTTTACAAAGTGGGGACAGGAGAACAAAATGCCTTCCCACATTTTGCAAGACACCCAGGGGCGGTGGGGAGCTGAGTTGGTGGTGTGAGTGGGTGGGGGAGCAAGCTTTTTATTGCCCATCCTTCCATGTGGGGCTGCACCTAGTCTGTCTGCAAAATGTCTTCAGGATTCGGAGGAAGGAGGTTAGATGCGAGGGCACATCATGTTTCTGCAAGATATTGTTGTTCTGTAAGCTCCTGAGGAACAATTAATGTCAGTAATCTGAATGGTGTGGGGGCCAGGGGAAACTTCCTAGATCCCACAGAGGAATGACTCAGTAGTTCCATAAATGGATTGATATTCTCCATCCCACAGAATACAGAACGGTACAGCACAGGAACAGGCCCTTTGGATCACCATCTCTGTGCCAGCCATGATGCCATTCTAAGCTAATCCCATCTGCTAGTTATGGTCCAACTTCCTCTACTCCCTGACTGTTTATGTGTCTGTCTAAATGCCTCTTATACATTGCTATTGGATCTGGCAGCACATTCCAGGCCTCTGTGTTAAAAACAACTTGCCTCGCACTTTAAACTTTTCCCCTCTCAACTTAAACCTATGCCCCCTAGTATTTGACATTTCCACCCAGGGAAAAAGACTCTGATTAGCCATCCTATTCTAACCTCTTTAGCACCCTCTCCAAAGCTTCCATATCCTCCTTACAGTGTGGTGACCTGAACTGCGCACAATACTCCAAATGTGGCCTAATTAAAGTCTTATACAGCCGCAACATGACTCGCCAATTTTTATACTCAGTGCCTGACCAAAGAAGGCAAGCATGCCATGTGCCTTCTTTACCACCTTATCCACTTGTGTTGCCACTTCCAGGGAGCTGTGGATTTCGACCCCAAGATTTCTCCATACATCAATGCCCCTAAGGATCCTGCCAGTAACTGAATACTTTCCTCTTGCATTTGACCTCCCAAAATGTATCACCTTGCACTTGTAGAAATTTCATCGGCTATTTCTCTGCCCAACTTTCCAACTGATCTATGTCCTGCTATATCCTTTGATAACCTTCCTCACATCCATGTCTCTACCAATTTTCATGTTGTTTGCAAACTTACAAATCAGACACCCACATTGTCATTTTAAGTAATATATATAACACACACACACACACGTCTAAGCACTGATCCTTGTGAAACACCACTAGTCATAGATTTCCAGTCAGAAAAATACTCTCTATCTATAAACTAAGACAATTTTGTATCCAATTTGCCAACTTACCAACATCTTGTGTGACTTAATCTTCTGGACCAGCCTACCTTGTCAAATAGTTTAATAAAGTCCATGCAGACAACATCCAACTGCCCTGTCCTCAATCATCATTGTCACTTCCTCAAAAAACTCATCAAGTTTATGAGACAAGAACCCCCCCACACCACCCTGGATAAAGCCATGCTGAATATCCCTAATAAGTCTCTTCTTTTCCAAATGCAGGTAAATCCTGTCCCTAAGAATCTTCTGAACTAATTTTCCTACCACTGATGTAAGGCTCACTGGCCTGTAACTTCCTGGATTATCCCTGTTGCTCCTCTTTAAACAAAGGAATAACATCGGCTATTCTCCAGTCTTCCGGGACCTCACCTGTGGCTAAAGAGGCTACGAAGGTCTCTGTCAAGGTCCCAGCAATCATATAGGATTGAAGGTGGCAATTTGACCCTTTAGGCTACAGTCACAGGCTCATTTCATTCAGATTGTCTGATCTTTGTGGACATTTATGCTCTCCTTTTTTTTTCCCTTTCTGTGCCAAACCGATGGAATGTTTTTATCCCATTCCAGCAAACTGCAAGCATTCCTGCTTCAGCATCAGACGTTCTTGGAGAAGTGTGAAACCTGGATGGAGTTCTTGGTCCAAACTGAGCAAACGCTGGCGGTGGAGATATCCGGAAACTACCAAAGCCTCCTGGAGCAGCAGAGGGCCCACGAGGCATGTGGAGAGCTGGGGCCACAAGTGGCATTGGGAGTCACAGTTTTTTTTCCCTCTGCGTGCTGTCCTGTTGTATCGCTGTTTCTTCATCAGCACTGGGTTAACCTCGTGCACCAGCACTGGGGCGCTGAGCTTCTTCCGCATTCTCAGCAAGGCCCATTGTTGGCCTTTGGAGCCAATCTAGCAATTGGAAATAAATGCTCACATCCCCGGGTGCTGTACATCAGTTCCCAGCTGGGGAGGTCCTGAGTTCCAGTCCTGTTCCAAAGATCTGATTGCCTGCCCTAGGCAACCACTTGTAGTGCAGCACTGAGGGAGTGCCGCACTGTCAGTGGTGCCTCCCTTTGGGTGAGAACTTTTGTACGCTCTTCCGGAAGGTTAGGACAAGAGCCGAGGAAGTTTCTCCTGGCCAGCATTGTTACTTTAACTGCTGGAGAAAGAAGGACCAGTCTGACATCATTGGCCATGCAAAATGCAGGGCCTTGTGCGTCCAGGTCAAGTGGAACAGTTTCCTTACATGATACCAGCGCACACTGTTCCAAATTAGCTATTCCGAGCAAACGCGATACCCCAGCGAGTTCATTCCACCTTCCTGACCCTCCTTTTGTTTCTGGTGCAGTTGTTCCAGACAGAGATGTTCAGCCGTCAGCAGATCCTGCACTCCATCATCAGTGACGGACAGCGCCTCCTGGAGCAAGGCCAGGTTGATGACAGGTCAGTTTCCCCTCTCTGCTGCGTGAATGCCAACTGTGTGTGAGAATGTGCTGCAGCAGAGAAAATGAGCAAGGCTGTGCGTGGGCAGCGATCCCTTTTAAGAGGCATAGCCATGCAGCGACCTTAAAGGGACTGTGCAGTGGAAGGAATAGACCATCACTGCAAAGGGAAGTAAGAGGAAACCCAGCTCGCAGTCCTGTCATTGCATTGAAACACAGTCCCTGTTCTGAGTTATTGTTATTTGAAGTAAATCTATATGAATTAAGATCTGATGAATTTTGGTGTAATAACGACTAAACTGGTTCCACAGAAATTCAGGTGAAGATATCAGGTTGGAATTTAATGAGAAAAAGACATCCCAAAACAATTGTGGAAGCTGGAAATCAGAAACGAAAACAGAAATTTATGGGAAAGCAGCTTCTGAAGAAGGGTCACTGGACCTGAAATGGTAACTCCTTGCTTTCTCTCCAGAGATGCTGCCAGACTTGCTGAGTTTCTCCCAGCAATTTTTGTTTCTGTTTTGGAATTCAATGTGTCTGGCTTGTAAGGCCTGTTTATTCATTACCCCCGGTCTCTTGCAAGTCACTACTGGCCTCCCATGGCCTGGTTCCTGAATTTATCAGTGAATCCAGGCAAACGTTTGAGCTCCACCCCTAATTTCCCTTGAGAATAGTTGAGTGTGAACCATGTTGCAGTGGGTCTGGAGTCATGTGTAGGCCAGACCAGATACGGATGGCAGATTTCCTTCCCTTTGGGTTTTTACAACAAACAGCTGATAGTTTCATTGTTAAGATGACTAGTGTTCAATTCCAGATTTTATGAATTGAAATTCCACCAGTTGCCAAGGCAGAGTTTGAGCCCAATCTGAATATCATGAGCCTGGATCTCTAGATTAACCTCTAGTGATATTACCACTGCACCATCATTTCCCCTTGTTGGGGTGGGGGGGGAGGGGTGCTTCCCTTCAGTCCTATTTTATGGAACTTCCTCCTGCCTCTTGCCCTTTCCCTCTCAGTTATTATAGCCTCCTAGAGGCCAGAGCTTGCGTTTTAGCTCAGTTGGGTATTCAAAAAAAAATCCGACCCCTGATCCCAACCCACCTTTTTCTGAAGTTTCCTGAGGTGATACCGGAGAAAGAAATAACAAACACATTGTCTTATTCCAGTGATACTGGCAACCTCCGCTTTAAGCAGAATTGACAGAGTCCCAGAGTCACAAGCCTTTGCGGGGGTGGGGGGGATTCCCAACGGCTGGATTAAGGTGAGGAGCGATCCTGGGGTGAGGTCAGAGCCTTTATAGCACTGCTTCTGGGCCAAGAGGAACATGACATGGGTACAAACCCCTTAAAATAAGAGGTAGGATGGTCTGGATCCTATCAGGATGCACACACACAAGATCATGGAAGTCTGGATCTTCACACTCTGGGTAGATGAACAGATGAACTTGCAACAAATCCCCGAGTACCTGATGGTGATGAGCAGCAGCTCCGTTCGAATCGAATAGACCATGTGTTGATTGTGTGTTTGTTTTCTCTCTCTCTGTTAGGGATGAGTTTAACTCGAAGTTGGCCATGCTGAGTAACCAGTGGCAGGGGGTGATTCGGCGGGCACAGCAGCGGAGAGGCATTATTGACAGTCAGATCCGGCAGTGGCAGCGTTACCGGGAGCTGGCGGAGAAGCTGAGGAAGTGGCTGTTGGATATATCCCAGCAGCTGGGGCAGAGGTGGGGCAGTGCAGCACCCATTGCCCTACAGCAGGCCCGAAGCCTGTTGGATGAGGTGCAGGTGAGAGTCACCGCTTGCACAGTGTATCCGACGTCATGCTGATATATGTCCACTTCATTGTCACAGAACACAGCAAGGAGATAGAGAGATTGGACCTTAGACTATTATTTAATGACACAGTACCCTGTGTCTAATCCTGTGTCACTGTAACCATCTCCAGTTGAATGTCACTGTCTTCTGTCTAGTCACCTGCCTCCTCTTCCAATTCCTCCTGTCTCCTCTTCCAATTTCTCCTGCCTCTGGCTCCTCCTCCCCTCTCCACCTCCTATCCCCCCCGATTCCACCACTGCTTCCTCCTCCCCAGTCCCCCTCCTCCCTGCCTTCTCCTCCTCCTCATCCCTCACCTCACTGCCTCTACCTCCCCAGTCCCCTTCTCCCTCCACTGTCTCCTCACCCATTGTTCTGTCTCACCCTCCTCCTTCAGTCCCTTCTCTCTCTTCCCTTCACCCCATTTTGCCCAATTCCCTGTGCCACTGTCTGTGCTCACTGCCCCTGAAGAAATCTTCTCTTCCTTCCTCCCTTGGCCTATCCCCCAGCCTTGGGGGACAGTCCATCAGTATTCACTGCAAATGCCCTTACTCTGACTCTCACTGTATTGCCTCCCATCCAGGGGTGAAACCCCATAAAAAGGACCTTCTGCCCACTGTGTCTGTGCTAGTTCTGTTGTAATCCCATTTTCTCGCAGTTGGTTTGTAGTCTGGTGTGCAGTGGGGGTGCCCATTGAAATACTACTTTAATATCTTGTTGTCTCCTTCCTCTATCACCCTTAGAGTGGCAGTGAGTTCCAGATACTCCTCACCCTCTGGGTGAAAAGATATTTCCTCAGTTTCCTGACCACATTCCACTCTCCCAGTTCCTGTGGCTTTGTTCCACCTGATCTGTAGATGTAATCCTCCCAGATATGTCTCCCCTTTCCCTCAGTGTAGAACAGTGGTTGGCAGAGCCTTGCTTGTGACTGTTCCACTTCTGCTGTGACCCCTTGCCTTCCCTCTCAGAACCAGGATAGGATCTCCCGTCCTCCCCTTCCTTCACACCAGCCTGATCCAACAGATCATCCTCTGCCGTTATATCGAAGGGAGCCAGGTTACAGCTGGAGCCTAGATTTTGTAAACTTGAAGCTGCTGTCGAGTATCTCACGTTACAAAGACACGGCTCTGTGCTGACCAGCTACAGTTTCAGTTTGCTCCAATATACAGGAATGCAAGCGACTTGCTGGTTGATGTCCCTCACCCAAATGCAAATAAACACTCAACATCCACAACCTGCCAACCTGATATTAATAAGCATGCATTTTTTTTTCTTAATGATCACTCCCTAATGCCTGGCCCACTGTTCAATCCCCCCACCCTCGCAGCAGCCACATCACTCCTGAGCCACAGCAGATGGAATGCCTCCACCATTGTCCTCATGCAAGGTCACTATGTCCTCCTGGGTGAAACAGTTTACTGCACCCACTGCTTGTGATGCGGTCCCTTGTCTCTTTTTATTTTGAGGTTTGGGATTTGCTGGCTGTTTTTGTAGACAACGTGTTGACATTGTATGTCTTTGTCAGTCTCTGCCCCGTTCCCTCACTGACCCCTTCGCCCTCAGGGCTTGGTGCACTGTTCCAATGAAACTCAAGGTGAGTCTTTTGGTGAGAGACTTTACAGCCTTCCGGACTCAACACAATGTTCACCAAGTTCAAACCCTAATTGTGTCTTCCTTCCTTCGTTCCCTTTCCTTTCCTTCGTTCTTCATGATGTACCTTTTGGGGGGTGGGGCGGGGGATCATCCATTCTGTTTCTCCTGTTCACTCTTGCTCTTTAAATCTATCTTTAGTCCCTTTGTCCAATGACCATGGTCAACTTTGTTCACGTCAAACTGTCCTGTCTCCTGTGCTCTTACCTACACATCTCTTTTCCCCTTGCATCATCATCCCTTTTGACATTTAACCTGCCTTCCATTGTTTCACAAAGGCTCTTTCCTGTTCTTTACTCCCTCCCCTTTAACTCTGCCCCTGGGATTGCTTGAAATCTTTTCTGTCTCTCATTTTTTTCCCTTTCTGAAGTAAAGCCATCGAGCAGACCCATTAACTCTTTCTCTCCGTCTCCACAGACACTGCCAGACTTGCTGAGTGTTTCCGTTTCGTTATTTACTGTATGTTAATGCAGCACTGTCCAACATGGCTGCACTTTCTAGTATCTTCATTTCTTACCATCACTATTTAATGTGCTGCTTAAAGGAGTCCAGGATAGATTCTTGTCTGGCCATCAGTTTGGGTGTTTAAGTACAGTCATTGCTGGCAACAGCTCCTGCACTTTTGGCCCATCCTGACCATCGCCTTTGCTCAGAGATCGGTCTAATGCTGTGTGCCTCAAACACTTTCCAGAGGATACTGATTAAATGTTAGCTCTCTCTCTCTCTCTCTCTCTCTCTCTCTCTC